CCAAACACCCAGTAAACATGCAACATCTTGGTTCCAGACCAACAAGATTGACGTTATGGAGTGGTCAGCCCAATCCCCGAATCTTAATCCAATAGAAAACTTGTGGGGTGACATCATAAATGCAGTTTCTGAGGCAAAACCAAGAAATAGAGAACTGTGCAATGTAGTCCAATCATCCTGGGCTGGAATACCTGTTCACAGGTGCCAGAAGTTGGTTGACTCCATGCAACACAGATGTACAGCAGTTATCAGAAACAGTGGTTATATAACTAAATATTAATGAAGTGATTCAAAGGAAAGCAAAATCTTCAAACATTTTTCAGTTTATATAGTGAATGTTTGAGTTTGTAAAGAAGAATACAAACACTGCTATTTTTTTGAACAGTCTAATATTCACTTTTCTTCAATTTTTTTAGAGGAACAACATAAATTTGATAATTTTTCTTCATGTTTTGATATGAATAGAATGTGTAGTGTTCCCAATGCATCTGTGTGTATGGAAATAAAAGCTATTAGAAGGATTTTGAGCTTTATTCACTTTTTTCAACACACTGCTATTATTTTGAACACAACTGTATCTCAGGAGTCTTCATGGACATTTCTTTCTTTCATCTGGAGGAGGGGGGAAGGGGCTTTCTTAGCAAAGCACACCCTCCAGCCTAGATGCCTGAGCTAGGGTAGATGGATTTCCAGGATGTAAATGTTACATTAATCATCTGTCCTTACGCAAGTTGGCCATGGTTAAAAAAAAAGTCCCATCATGCCTCTACCTTTGGGAGTCATGCTTGTAACAGTCAATCTTGCAGTTCCTCATGGGACTTGTAGTTTGGCAACAGCTGGAGGGCCGCCAGTTTGACACCTGTGTAGAGGGTGTTATTATTATACCATGGTGCATATTTAGTGATGTCTCAAGTTATCCAAAGATAGCAGCAAGTCCTCTGTGTGTTTTTATTTAAATATTTTATTTAAAAGTGCAGAAGTACACAGATGTAATTTTTTTGCTGTCACACATCTAAAGTTCCTTTAATTTCACATGAGTGGCCATTAAAAACAAATGGTTGATCCATGTTTGCCCCACAGTTGCAATGCAGTTGGCAATGTGCAGTATATTTGTCATTGAGCAGTTCAAAACAAGTCAAAAGAAAAACAAAAAAGCATCAGAAGGTGGGGCAGTATTGCCTCCTGGATACCTGCAAACCCTATTTTCAGCGTTCTCTGAAAACGCAATCCATTTCAAATCGCTTTTCAGGAAGACTGAGAAACACCAATGCTCAAATGCAAGTGTTTTTTTGTACAGACGCTGGCAAATAACTACTCATTAAACATAACCTTTCAGGAGAGAAATGTAACATAGCAGGATCATGTAAAGTTTTAATTTTTTTTGATTGGCTGGGCTGGGATCATGTCACTCCTAGATGCTGAAATTGTACACTGAGCTGCATTTTTTAAAAAAATTAAAGTTACAAATGTCTAGTCCTCTCAGAGAAACCTGTGCCCACACTTGAACTAATCTATTACATTGTAAAAGCTTGTTTTTTGTCCTAGGCTATGATCCAGTTCTCTTGCCCTCCTCACATGGTCCTTACTGGTGGCCCACTGCTGTCTCTGTTCCCATCAACTACATTGGGGCTCCACCCACCTTTACTCTTATGCATCTTGCTACAATATAATAAGAAGTAGGGAACGATTGTCGTGCAATCCTAACACAGGACCCCAACTTAAACGGCTTTCTAAGTGACTAACTAGACTACATGAATTTGCCACAAAGGAATAGGGACATCTCATGGGGGTCTAAAAGAATCGCAACAGTCATACCAAAAGGTCCTGCACTACCTGGCAGAAATCCGAGAGCAGTCATTGGCTTCCAAAGGTGTTGGACTGTTATCTTTGTCCTTGCTTTACTACATAATAGCCCAGAACAATTAAACAAACAGTAATTTCAAGATGCCTGACCTGCTTTCATGTTCTAACACAGTGACTCACTAAGTTTAACAAAGGTTAAACATAACAGGCCTGAAGACTGCACTTTTAAATCCAGTTGTCAGTGGCAGTTCTCCTATTTCTATGCTGACAGATTCCCTTTGGCTGTGTTTTGTCTGGAGTTCTCTTAAATATTCAAAACTGTCCAACAGTCTGAGCTGATGGTAGCAAATGGTGATGTATCTCCCCAGTGGGGACATTTATAAACTCTGTTGTACAATAAAGCAATGCTGTACAAGAGCAATGAGAAAGATTTACTATACAACTGCAGCTGGAATCATAAATTCCTCCCTCTGCTGATCTCAAATAGCAACGGTACAATAAAAAAAACCTGCCCCGACCACAATTTAATTAGTTACAAGTTTTTAGTATTCATTTGTTTCACCAACAGTGGCAAATCTGTGGCAGAATCAATCTCAGTTGGCTGCCCAGGATTAGCAGAAGATCACAAAGAAAGGAAGGACTGCATATATGGCTCTTTACTAAATAAGCGACAGTCTGATTTGCAATAGATGTGGGTCTAAATTTTATCAATAATTTGCATGCCAAAGTTCCCCCTGGTTCAACAAAAGTTGATTGAAAAATGGACTGAATTGGTTGGAGAATTATTGGCCGAAAAGTGACTACATCCTAGCAGAAGCACTGTTTGGGTATTCGGGAAGCTGCTGGTGCTGCGACTGCTGAATGCAATAGCAGACAGTGGAAATCTTATTGAACAAGAAAAATCAATGCATGTATGGCTAGCCTTAGGCCACTTTCACATGAGGTAGATCCGATTTGCTTAGCAGGGGATCTTTCTGCTGATCCCCCGCTGAGCAGAGCACAGGGATGACAGGTCCATCTTCACTCTGCTCTGTGGGCGGCTGGTTGTAAAAGAACTGTCCATTTACACCCGAGTACCACTGATCTGATCCACCTACATAGGGGAGAACATATTCCCCTTCTGTTTCTTTTTAGTGGACCAGATCGGATTGGAGGTAGGTGGGTGTAAAAGGACTTTTGTGCGCAGGTCTATAGGGATGAATGGACCATCCAATAATAACAGTCATGTGAAAGGGGCCTTAGTCCTTTTTATTTGTATTCTATTAGCCTACCTTGGTGGTTAATCCTGTCATCTCAGCAGTTGTTTACAAAGAGTCCTAATTCGGAACTAGTATTTTTATATGAAACAACTTCATGAAACAATGGATTAGAAAGCAAAAAAAAGAGAAAAAGTAACGTAAAATATTGTGGTAATCTAAAATAACGTAAAAAGTGAAATATACCATACAATAGTGTTCTATTAAGTGATTCAACCAATATAAAATAATATAAAGGTCAAGGATGAGAAAAAATGTTAATAACGACTACACACATTGCAATTATTTTGCATTAATTGCTGTGGAAAACAGGCTATGGTGTATGTGTACCAATTAGTGTTACAACAAAAATTGGTGATTTAGCCACAGATGACTGGAAACTAAAAGAATACAGCTGGCTATATTTATTAGCTAAGTTCAATGTTGAACTCCGTGCACATGACTCCATAGTTGATTGAAGGTATAAATTCCAAAGACAGAATTTATTAAAACATCCAAACCCATAAAACTGCTTGAACAATAATAACTTGTAATGTCACTACAATAGAAAACCATCCTTTATAAAAATAAAACAGTTTAAATAAAGACAAACTATGTTCTCTGACTCGCACAATCATATTTACAATAGCAAGGATTAAATCCAAATAATGGCAGCTATAGTGTGTTTTTTTTATGGGGTGTAGCGCATTTGTGCGTGTAACACTATGTTATTATTATAATATTTTATCCTTTATGTCTGTAGGGGAGGACAGAACTTTGCTTTCCTGAGAACAATGAACCATTCATGCATTTGAGGGAATTTGAAAAACTGTTTTAACTATTTATGCAGGGTAAGGCAACAGGGTTATGTTAAAGTAGAACTGAACTCAGAAAATTAATATTTCCTTTGACTACTTTTTTTCAAGATCATCTTTCAGTGTTCAGTTCTTCTTCAATGTCTACCTTCCCAGTAGTTACATAGTTAGTCAGGTTTGAAAAAGACTCATGTCAATCATGTTCAAGCAAAAGATAAAAATGTATAAATTAAAAAGCTGTATCCACTGAACAACTGACACAGAGGAAGGCAAAAATCCTTTATAAAGCATGGCCCAATTTGCTTCCAGAGGGAAAAAAATCCTTCCGAATCCCCTATGGAAAATTGGATACTTCCTGGTTCAACAATTTAAAGTGATACTTCTTAGATATTTTAAAAGGTATTGAGTGCCTTTTTCTGAATGCAGAAGTTAAAGTGATCGTAAACTCCTTTCTTTTAAAAAATAACAAACAGGTTCATACTTACCTGCTCTGTGCAAAGGAATTGCAAGGAGCGGCCTTTTCTCAGGTCCCCTTCTGGGGCTCCTGGCTCCTCCTCTTCTTGATGTTCCACCATAGGAAGCCTCTACACCTGCAGGCTCAATCCCAAGCAGTGTCCAAGCCTGTCGATTAACACAGACAATGCGACTGGGTCCTGCCTCCTGCTCCCTCATTACAGGATTTGATTGGCTCCAATTGCCTCAGCAAAGCCTGTGAGACTAGGAAGTGAGCAGAAAGATCTACAGCAGACAGGAACAGTGCTGGAGTAAGTATTGGGGAAGGGGGGTTTGTTAGGGTAAGATTCTTTTATCTAAACATTTTTTACCTTTTTTTTAACATCCAGGATGATAGTTTATTAAACAATGGCATAGTACAATAACATCAACAAACAAGCAGTACAAAGCAGTACAATGAGACAACAATATCCAAAGAGAGAAAGCAAAAAAATACAAAATACGTCAGTGCAACCTATCAGTCGTAGAGGAGCAGGGCTCACAGCAAGGTCAGTGGCTATGCAACCAGTTAACATGCAAAACATCAACAAAGCAGCATATTCATTGTTCTGTCCAGGGTTGCCAAAACCTTATTGAACTTCCCAGGACAGCCTCTATTAATGTATGTCAACTTGTACATAGATAACACTGCATTAACCACCTCCCGTCCGGCCGTTGTATATGAACGGCTGGACGGTGGCCGTTTATAAATGGCCTCCCCGCCCCCTGCTTGTGCGCGCTCCCTGGGAGCTCCCCGCAATCCGGTGCCCGCTGTGTCCACTGGACACAGTGGTACACACTCTAACTGCACCTACTCTCATTGCACCTACTTATTTAGTTTTTCATGTGAAGCGCTTCAGCAATATTGTTTTTTTATGTCATACTCCGGACACCGTGGAACACCAATCGTCGGACGGGACCTCTGTGCGATGTCCCGATCATGTGATCACTGATTGGCCAATCAGTGATCACATGCAGAGTAGTAAGCAAGATGTCACTTCTGACATCAGTGCTTACTATGTGTGAAATCTGTGAATGATCACAGAGGTCACATGGTACAAGGCTATTCACAACAGCCTTGTACCATGTGACAAGCTGTGACCAATCACAGCTCACACAGTAGTTCTCAATGGCTGCAAGAATGCAGCTTGAGAGAAGGAGGAATGGTTGTTTTTACAGCCTTTATGGGTGTAAAAGCAATCAGTGTAAAAAAAAAATCTTCATCACCCCCCACAAGTAGTACAGTGTCCCCATGGTGACACTGTACTGCTAGGGTGACAGTATGTAAAAAGAAAAACAAAACAAAACATAAATAATAATATAAAAAAGTAAACAAAATGTAAAAAATAGTTTAAAAATTATATTTTTGGTTATAAACTGTCAAGGTCCTACCTTTCCTCAGGGCTTGTGCTGCTCCATGTGCTGGCATCTATCTTAGGTGTCTGCAAAGCACTGTGGGATCCTTTATGCTTTCAGCCCTCTGTGGCTCCTCCCCCAGGAGGTGGCGGCTTATCACATATAAGTCTGCTGTTTGCAGCTGTCCATTGCATGCATGTCCTGTCTCTTGCACAGCAGCAAGCTCCTGTTTAGCTACTCGTTGCTTTCCTGGATACCGACTCGGCTTTGGCTAAGACTCCTCCTGGCTTCTGACCCCGACTCTGGCAACCATTCTTCCTGGCTCCTGATCCCGGCTCTGGTGACGATTCTTCCTGGCTCTTGATCCCGGCTCTGGTGACGATTCTTCCTGGCTCCTGATCCCGGCTCTGGCGACGATTCTTCCTGGCTCTTGATCCCGGCTTTGGCTACGATTTCCGCTGTCGGACTTGCATAGACTCTTGTCTTATTTTTATATTAATAAACCTACCTTTAATTGCACCTCCTTGTGTGTCTGGCTCCTCGCTCCCTGACGTAAACTAATTTAGGTTATTTTTTTTTTTACTAAAAAGTTAACGGAATAAATTTTGGCCAAGATTTATGATGAAATACTATTTATTTGCAAAATTTTATAAGAAAAACACTTTTTTTTTCACAATTTTTGGACATTTTCATTTACATAGCAAAACAAATAAAAATCCCAGCGCTTAATAAATACCACCAAAATAAAGCTTTATCTGTCTCAAAAAAATGCTAAAAAATTCATATGGGTACAGTGTTGCATGACCGCTCAATTGTCATTCAAAGTGTGATAGCACTGAAAGCTAAAAATTGGCCTGGACAGGAAGGGGGTAAAAGTGTCTGGGCTGGAAGTGGTTAATGGACGCCTCCCATGAGGCCACTGAGGGGGGGAGGTACAGTGATGAAGTATCTCCTTCTTGGAATAAAATAATAGATAGGAAAGAAGCAATTTGGTGTGGTGAGGCCTCTGTTCATCATCTTGTATTCCCAACACTGCAAGCTCAGGGGAGAGTGAAAGGGACAGTCACAGCTGGGTGTTGACACAGGTAAACACTTCCATCCAAAACTGCTCTACTTTAGGACAGATCCAAAACATATGAAAGTAGAAGCCCTCCCCAGTATGACAGCAGGGACAGTCAGCGGACCTCTGCAGATAAATTCTGAGCAGTCTCAGGCGTGTAGTATACCCTATGCAAAAATTTTGTCTGCAGCAATTTATCTCTAGAGGAAATAACCAGTTTAGAACTATCTTCAAAACATTTCTCCCACGTTTCCCTATGCAAAGTTGGAATGTCCGCCTGCCATTTTTGCTCATAACCTATCCATTTTAGGGGAGTCCACACTGAGAAGAGCCGAATAAAGAGAGGACAAAGGTTTAGAAAGGGACTCCTGTGCCAGAAGGTCCTCCATTGGGTCAGTCTCCAGTCTAGGGGGGGTTAAAAATTCCGCCCACCCAGCATGGCGCAATTCGTAATATCTAAAGTACATCCACCCAGGTAATCTGTGTTTGCAGGAGAGATCTTTAAATGATAGCAAGGTACCCATAGGTATGATGTCCTTAATCAGTCTGATACCATAACGTGCCCACACTTGGCGGTCAGGTAACTGTTGCAAATGAGACAAGGTTAGATTGCCCCACAAGGGGCAGTATGGGGATCACTGATACGTCTGTAAAAAATGTTTTCCAGCTACAACTCAGACCCGAAGGGTGACCTTCATAGGGAGTGGAAGGAGGTGTAGGCCCTAGGGCCTCTATAGACAAGATTACTCAGTTCTGTAAGGGAACCCAGTATGACCGCTTTGAGACCAACCGCAGCATTAGAATGTGTGAACCACCATTGTACAGTGACTAAGATAGCTGACCTCGTCAAGTGGGGGCAGGGGGACCTTGCCAAGTGGGGGGGGGACCCTCCCCAAAGGAAGGAGCCCACACAATGGTCAAAGAAAGTACCAGGTATCCAAACAGGACAATTACGAAAAGCATAATTGAATTTTGGTGAGATATATAATTTTAAGAATATTTATGCAGCCCAGCAGGCTAAGCGGCAAGGCAGACCAGGTGGTCAGCTTCAACTGCAACAGCAAGGGGTGGAGGTTCAACCTATAAAAGCTCTGTAAATCTTGAGTGACTCGTATACCTAAATATTTGAACTCATCATCCCACAGCAACAAGGTAGAGATTGCTTAATCCCTAGCTTGGGGATTGAGAAGGAAAAGGACCGACTTGGACCAGTTGATACGAATCCCAGAAAATTGTCCAAATTCTTCAATGACCTCGAGTGCAGCTCGCAGAGAAGAATTCATGCCATGTAAATATAGTAAGGTGTCATCAGCATAGAGCAAAATTTTCTCCTCCAACGAACCAACCCACAGGCCCTCAATGGATCGGGAGCCCTGCACCCGAATAGCCAACAGCTCCAATGCCAGAGAAAAGAGAGCCAGCGAGAGTGAGCACTCCTGCCAAGTCCCTCTGCTCAAGGGAAAAAAGTCAGACAGACAGTTGTTGGTTCTGATCCTAGCTCAAGGAACATTATAGAGCATACCCAACCTTTTAAAAAATCGAGGTCCAAACCCGAATCTACACAGTACCTCCCAAAGGAACACCCACTGAACCGAGTCGAAAGACTTTTCAGCATCTAAGGAGGCTATAACTCGAGTGCCACCATTAGCATGAGTGGCAACCAAGTTAAGAAAGAAGTGCCGAATATTAATATCCATGCCCTTCCCAGGCATAAAATCTGTTTGATCACCGTGGATAAGATCATCCATCATTGTTGAGAGGTGAATGGCCAAAATTTTGGCTAAGAGTTTAGCATCAGCGTTGATCAAAAGCCGATAAGAAGCACAATCTTCAGGATCCTTGCCAGGTTTGGACACCAACACTATAAGGGCCTCAGACATAGATTCTTGGAGAGATCCCAGGGAGGTAAACTAATCAAGGAGGTAAGTGAGCCTGGGCGCCAACAACTCCTGATAAAGGGAGTAAAATTAGATGGGTATCCTATCAATACCAGGGGCCTTCCCATATTGCATATGGCCCAATGCCGCCTGTACCTCCTCAAAGGAAATATCACTGTCCAGCCTGTCCCTTGCCTCCCAATCAAGGGTAGGAAACTCCATGTGATCAAGATAGGCACAGAGGTCAGTCGAGCCATAAGCAACTCTAGAGGAATAGAACAGGCTATAATATTATAAGAATCTAGCATTTATACAGTCAGGGGTTGTCAATAAAGCTCCATTCAGTCCTCTAATTATACCAATATGCATTGTAGCAAACTGTTTCCTAGCCAGCCAAGCCAAAAGTCTACCATTCTTGTCCCCATATTCGAACATCCTCTGTGCTGTGGAAAGTTCAGACTTTTTAGTCAGGTCAACTCTGAGTAATATCTCCCTAAGGGCTTGTTGCCAAGCTGCATAGTGTTCATGGTCAGGATGAGCAATATAGTCTGCCTTTCTTTGCCGTGCCTCAACCTCCAGCTGCTCCAGAGACTGCACAGAAGATCTTCTCACATTAGCTATGCGAGAAGTATACTCTCCCCTAAGCCAGGTCTTAAATGTGCTCCATACTATCAGAGTCCTCATTATGCAACCAAAAGTCACAAAGGCCTAGATTCTTGAACAGATGGGTCCATAAGCCAGAATTTAGACAGCCTCCACAGGCCCCAACCTCCAGCCGCCCCCAGCCACAGGGAAATCATGACCGGGGCATGGTCGGAAATGCCTTTGGCCAGGATCTCAGCCGAAATCTCCTGCCGCAATACAGAGGAGGCAAACACTGGGCCTATACGAGACAGAGATTGATGAGTGACAGAATGACACGTATATTCGTGATCACAAGGATGAAAATTCCACCACACATCAATCAAGGCAAAAGAGGAGGCCCATTGGGAAAGGCCCTGGGTCCAGGCAGCGGAGGTCGGGAGCCTATCAAGATCCTGGGAGGGCACCAAGTTAAAGTCCAAAGCGATCAACACATTCACTGTATTGAGCCAACAATTGCATGAGTGTATACACAAGAGACACATCAGCAGGTGGAGGCAAGTATAGATCCACTATCATGAAGGCGACATCCGCTACAAGAGCATGTAAGAGCACATATCTGCCCTCCAGATCTTTCTTAACCTCTGAAACTGCAAAGATCTACATACCAAGATACTAACTCCCCTTACATAGTTGGAATATGTGGCATGGTAATAGGCACCCACCCAAGCCTTTTTTAAAATCAATATACGAGAACCCATAGGGTGAGTCTCCTGATGGAGAAAAATATGAGGGTGGAGTCTGCGAAGATAGGAGAATACCAGAAATCTCTTCACGGCTGAATTAAATCCATGTACATTCCACGATATAGGAGAAAACTTAGCCATATCGTGGCAGAGGTAATAGCTAATAAGGATTAAGGCACAGAGGGCTCTGCCACCAGACTTAGGACAGAGCAGGGGGGGGGAGCCCCCACCCTGTAAACATACCCGGTCCACACAATAGGTGCACTACAGCCCTGAAAGGCAGCCTCACAAAGCAGTTGAATGTACACGCCATTAAAAGAACCAAAACATAACAAACATTGTAAAAAAACACATTGTATACCCCACAATAGTCCAACCAAGGTTGGCAATAGCCAACCTCCCCCCCCACCCACCCCGCTGCACCCGGAACTCCGGGAGCTGCTTGTATCCCAAAACTTGCCTCTTAGGAGCCAAACTATATGGAGGATGTGGTCACAAGTC